GCTCTCTCCTCGGAATTCTCTCCATTTGCAGTAGATCTCCTCTGCAAAGCGATCCTGTGCTCATTCATGTCCTACTTACACCCAGTCATCTCCTGTCCCTTCTGCTTCAGGTTACTTCAGCTAGTGTGTCCACGATTTGAAGGCAGGGCTACTGTCTCCATGTCCCATGGCACATCATCCAACAAGGTATTGGGCACGGATTAAGTGTGAAGTGTATGTGCTCATCCAAAATCTCAGTCAGTATCTGCTATGTGCCAAGAACTAGGGATTTAAGATTAATACAAACATGGTCTTTGTTTAAGCAGCTCGCAGCTTAGAAGGAAAGACAGGTGTGTTCTGTGCTTTGCCTCTCACCTTCTCAAGGATACTGCTGATTTATTTATTAGGGCAGTTTCCAGCAACAAATCTCTTTCTACTGATCATCCCCATTGTTACAGCCATATGGTTTAAGCATATGCTTTTACCTCCCATTTTAAACACAAACATAAATCCCCCGTAATCCCTCAGGGTGCACCAGCTACATACAATTTGTCAGCTCCCCTTGACAGCTGATCTTTTCTATGAAGTTGTCTACACATGCCACACCCACTTTCTCACTTCTGAGTTCATCCTTCAACCACAGCAGTCGGCCCCTCCCAGCCAGACGCCTAGACCTGCTCTCACCAAGGTGCCTATGGTATCCACCAGCCCACTGGACACCGCTCTCCTGCAGTTTGTTCAGCCCCAGCATCATCTTGTCACTACTTCTCAGGCCCTGGTTTCTCACTGGTTTTCTTCCTACCTTGACAGCCAGTCCTTACCCAACTCCATCTGTGGTTCTTCCTAGTTTGCTTGACCTCTAGGTATTGAGCTCATTCCCAGTATGCCTCCTCTACGAGGTCCACATCTTTCTCTGGGTGATGTCATCAACTGCTATGCAGTGAAGACCATCTTGTGCTCACGGCGCTGACCTCCACTCCATCTCCAGACCCCTTCTCCAAGCCACAGCCTCACCTATCTGCCTACCGGACAGCCTCACCTAGATGGAGCTTAGAGGAGAAGTCTGTGGAGGTCTTGGAGGTCCTAGACAAATAGATTTTTTAAACTCCACATGCCTAAAACAGAATGGCTATGGATCCCATACCCCCCCAAAAATTGTCCCCTACCTACCCCAGACCTTCTCTGTCTCTCTGAAAGGTCAGGTTGGTCACCAAGTTATTAAACCACAGTCCAAGGAGCCATACCTAATCCATCAGCAAGTCCTGTATCCAAAATGAAGTTGACATCTGCCCTCTCTCTTATCTCAGTCCCTCATGCTGGCACCGTTCTCCTGACCACAGTCACCTCTTGCCTAGATGACTACAAGGGTCCAAATTCACTTTCTACTTCACTCCTGCCCCCTCCCAGTCCAGTCAGTCTCTCTTGTAGAAAAAAAAAAAAAATCATAAAATATCTGAAGATTCGTGTCCTACCCCCTAGAATGTTACAGTGGCTTCCCAGGAAAATGCTACTGCATTCCAACCTCTTTCCCATGAGGTTCTAGTGGCTTCCCAGGAAAATGCTACTAAATTCCAACCTCTTTCCCATTAGGTTCTAGTGGCTTCCCAGGAAAATGCTACTGAATTCCAACCTCTTGCCCACGAGGTTCCAGTGGTTTCCCAGGAAAATGCTACTGAATTCCAACCTCTTGTCCACGAGGTTCCAGTGGCTTCCCAGGAAAATGCTACTGAATTCCAACCTCTTGTCCACGAGGTTCCAGTGGCTTCCCAGGAAAATGCTACTGAATTCCAACCTCTTGCCCACGAGGTTCCACTGGCTTCCCAGGAAAATGCTGCTAAATTCCAACCTCTTCCCCACGAGGTTCCAGTGGCTTCCCAGGAAAATGCTGCTAAATTCCGACCTCTTCCCCACGAGGTTCCAGTGGCTTCCCAGGAAAATGCTACTGAATTCCAACCTCTTTCCCACGAGGTTCCAGTGGCTTCCCAGGAAAATGCTGCTAAATTCCAAGCTCTTGCCCACGAGGTTCTACAACTGGCTGGTGATGGCGCCAGCTTCCTCGTGCATCATCCCTCAATGCCTCCCATCTTTGTTCTTTATTACACCCCAGCCAAAGTGGATATCTTTCAGTTCCTCAGAGACACCAATCCCTTTCCAGGCAGGAGAAATGGCATGAACGAAAGCCCTGGGAAGATAATATTCTTTGCCACCGCTTTTATAGGGCAGACTTCTCTTTCACTAGGTCTGTTGAAGTTATCATGGCCACAGGAGGCCTTTGGAGACAGCAGTTCACACTGTATTAGTCCCACCTATTTCTCTCATAGCACTTACTCAAAGGTACTACTACTTCATTTATGTATTTCCTTCTTGCGGGGGTTGGGGGTTGTTTCCCCAAGTTAAAATATAAGTTCCATGTGGGCAGGGACCATGCTCACTGCTGGACCTCAACACTTATCACTATGCCTAGGCATAGAGTAGAAACTCAGTAATACTCGTGGAATGCAAAAGTGTATAAACAAGCAGTTACAACACAGTATGATATGTACTAGTACAGGAAGCAATTCAAAGTTCTATGGAAACGTGAATACAGACTCTTTACAGATGAGAAGATACCTGAGTTAAATCTTTTAGAATATGTCAAGATTAGAGCTAACATAAAGGTGCTGAAAATATGAAAGAGCCTGATTGTGTTCAGGAATAGGAAAGCAATGCTATTTTGTGCAAAGGTAAACAACTTACAATTTATCAGGAAAGCCAGGCATTTGAGAGCTTAGGTGAGGAACAGATACTGTTTGAATTACAAAAAGATAACTGATGACAGTATGGAGGATCACTTGCAAGAGAAGAACTAACTAGTTAGGCAGACAGACTAACCGGAAAGATGCTGCATGGGAGGAAGTGACTGTGGCAGTGGAAATGAAGGCAAGGAGAAGGAGTCAGACCACGAGATACTAAGAAATATTTTTAAAAGCATGGCAACCAATCGAATATGAGAGTAAGGACCAAGAGATGAACATGGCTCAGCTTTTTTCTTGAGATAGAAATACAGAATATAAGCAAGTTTTAGGGGGAAAGTGAGGAGTTCAGTGTGGGACACGAGTGTGAGGTGCCTGGTGCTATCCTTGTGGAGATGACCAATAGACAGCTGGCAGGTGGGCATGAAGACCTGGGAACCACAGAGGTCACAGATTTAGAAATCAACATTCACATGGGCATTTTCTTCCTAGAAACAGAGATGATTAATAATTGTTTAATATTCACCTGAAGATTTTAGCAAGAAGTTAAATGGAAAATATGTAAAATACTATTCTTATTCAATGTTCTCTGGAAAGGGAAAAATGGAAGAATCCAAACCAAAGATAAAAATGGTTAAATACCAGAATACTAAACAAAGAAGGCTGCCTTTTAAAGAAAATAGATTCTAAATATTGTTCTGAAGTGTCTTTCAAGTCCAAGGTATTATAAACTCTTGCCAAGTAAGGTTGTGCCCAATAATTTCATTATTTCCTCAGTGTTAATTTGGAAGGAAAGAGCGTACATTATAAAGAAACACATGTACAAAGCCACATTACTGAAATGTAGTTTAAGGAAAATGGGTTGCAGCTATTGCAAACTCATGACTACCCCTTCTAGTTCTCTGGCAGCTTTAAGGATGATGTGGAAACCATTCCTAAGAAGGCTATGCTTCTTGGCAATTCCACTGCCACCATGGATTCACTTCTTACCTCATCCTACCACCCCCTGCCACCCACACCTCTTCTCCAGAACCACCTGTGTGTGTGATTATAGACCAGGAGAGCCTGTCTGGAAGACACCTCATACCTGAAACTCTAGCCAAGCAGGGATCAGAGGCCAGCCCCAGCTCACCGTCTCCACTCCACCGAGATGAGGCCAGGGACACTTAGCTCCCCCAGCAACCAGCTACCCTGATTATCAGAGAAGCACAAGACTTAAGCTTCGGAGAGGAGGAAGCCCTGCGAAGGGCTGTGAAGGGAACCCAGCAGGCCTCCTAAGGCCAAGGCCCGAAGGGGAGTGCCTGTCCCCACTGAGCCACTTTCAGGCATCCATAAGGTTTAAATGCCATGAAGCCTAGGTTTTCCTGCTGCTTTGTCTCTCAATTTGCAGGCAAGGCTTGCAGGAGGAACATGTTCTATGAAGGGCACCCGTTCCCAAAATTCCCCTCCCACCTCTACCATGCAAAGTACACAGCTACCATGCTACACTTGCCTACGAGGGCCTCCAGACCTCCCCTCTATACACCTCCGCCTGCTGGGGAGCAATGGGAGGGACACTTTCTGCCATCCGTGAATGCTTTCTTCCATCAGGAGGGTATTTTGCCTATAACTATCATTTTAGGGAGATTTCAGACATAAGCGTCTCTCTGCCTTTCACCTAAGCCAATCTAATTCCTCCACACCAACAACCCACACATTCCCCAACTACAAACTCAGATATCCAAGCCCATAATCCTGACGTTAAAACCTTAACAAAAAATGTGAGGGCATGGATGAACAAAATTTACGAATATACCTAATGGGTATTTCAGAATATATATATAAGAGGATAATGAAAAAAAGTGATTTTTACATTCAATTTTTTTAGGCTTCTTATTACAGAAAAGAAAAAAGCAAAGAAAACAAAGCACCCTCTCTCTTCATCAGTATCCTACTCAGTGCCTCTACACACAGCGGGCACCCCGGGCATTCCGGTAATAGTTGTGAGTAAAGTTCACACTCGTGTAAATCTGAATCATATTTAAAAGGTCGCTGCTTTAGTCTTATGCAGAGAAGTTAAAGGACTGCCAACTCCTTCATCACTCAAGCTCTTTAAAGACTAAGACACAGCCCTGTAGAAATCCTCAAACCAAAACACAAGGGTTTTGAGTGAGGGTTTTGATATTTAATGTTTAAGAGGAGGAAGTCTGAGATGAACTACATGAAGGGATAAAAAGAAGGCATTTTAGTATTGTTGTTTTGGAGGCGAACAGATTCTTTGCTAGTTTCACCCCGCCCAGGGAAACTCACAGTGGAGAGAGGCCAGGAAATATCTTCCTCAGGCAGGTGCCGATGTGAGCCAGCACCTCGCTCACGTCCTCGGGCGACGCCATCTTCATGGAGATGCTGCCCTTCTCAGTTTCCACAACCATCTGCAAGAATGGGCGGGATACTTCTTAGGAATGAGTCCAATCCTTTCAATTATGTAAAATATTGTAAACTACACTGTCACACAGATACAGACTAATGCAATATTAGCTTCTTTTTCTTTTGACAAGGTTCTAGGGTAGGACATCTTACATGCACGAGTGAACTCCCAACCAATAGCTCATGAACTACAAGGGGATCACAATATTAGCTTCTGAAGAAACACTTCCTTAAAATGATACTCTTAAGCCTCAAAGAAGTGTCTGGGTAGAGGGTGGAGATATTGTCAGAAACGTTTAGGAACTGAAGCAAATATTTCCAAGAGCAAAGCTGGAAGATTCAAATTAACTGCCACATGATAGAGATTGAATTTCCACATTCAAACATGACTTCTTCTTTTAACAAGATTTTGTCCTGAGCTGCAGTCTTACAAAATTGTCAAATTCCTGCTATCTACTGTAAGTCCGACTGTATCTTTCTGTGAGTACCCATGGGCAATCTAAAAGATACCTTTAACACACACACACAAACGTTTTAAAAACAAGAAACCTTATGATATATTCCAATAAAACGTTAAAACCTTTTGCTTGGGAGCAAAAGAGAAATACTTACAAAAGTTTTTATCTTTCTAAGAAGAGGGGGTAATTGAAATACTAAAGTAACACGTTAATAAAATGTTTGGTGTTAGGTTTTACTAACGTGTTAGCTAAGACTCATTCCTACAATTACTTGCTGGAGATGTCAAAAATAATATGTCAAAAAATGTTGAGACTGTGACAGCTAGCCCTCTATATAAGTATCCATTAACTTGTGAAAATGAGGGCAGGTCACAAAAGGGACAAGAGGTTGAAGATATACACATCACAGATAAGAACTTCAACCACTTAAAAAAAAGATGCCATTTTCTTGAATCTCAACAACATTCACGTAAACATCTCAAAAATATTCATGTAAACCGGGCGTGGTGGTGCATGTCTGTAATCCCAGCTACTCAGGAGGCCAAGGCAGGAGGATCGCTTGAGTCTAGGAGTTCAAGATCAGTCTAGGCAACACAGCAAAAACCCATCTTCCCACACCCCCCCCCCAAAAAAAAATCACATAAAGTACAATCCTCTTAGATTATCACTTCATCAAAATATCCTCACACATTTACTTCCTGTTCTTACTTTATCTATATAAAAATTTGATGGGAGAACACTGCTTATAAAGTGAAACTACCCAATTGTATTAACAAAGCAATTTTTAGATTTTTTGCCTTAGATTTTCCTAAAATTAGCCCAAACCAAAAATAATACTGTAAAGTCTTTCAACATATTTATGTTAAAAGGAAAAGTAATATAAGGTATGCCAAAATGATGAGATCAAAGAAAACAACATAACTAATGTAAGCATTTAAGGTGTTACTTTTTCATAAAAACCTCTAAAAGAATCTGTCAGCAACTATTTAATAAATACCACACCTGTCCTAGTTAGGTGCATATAAAAAAAATTAAAATTCCTATTTTTCAGCACATTCCTCAAGAAACGACAGGTAAAGCCTTTCAAAGTCTACAGGCAAAGCCTGCCTTTGTCTTCTAAAAGCTGGTTCAACAGATATTCCCCCTGCAAAAGGCAGCAAGCATTATTGTACCTGGAGGCTAACCAACCCAGTAGTCCATAAGATGTCTTAGGCAAGACTAAATCTACTTGGTGCAATTAGGCTCGTATTTTTCATGTGCACATATCTGTGCATATGCATGTTTTTAAAAGCCAGACACTTCAGATGTGCCATTGTGTCTGTGCTCTGCAACCCACCCCCAACCTTCCCAGCATGGGTAATTATATTTTTCTCTCCAGGAGTACTTTTAAATTCTTCACATCTAGCGCATCTATTCAGTTCACAATTTGGGTGCAAATAATTAGTAATTAGCTTATTCTAATTCCACTTAATCTTAACACCTAATCATCTTTAATTGCACAGGATTGAATAGAATGACAGAGAAGGAAAAAAAGGTGACAGGTGGAGGAAGAAATGAGCCCTCCAATTCAACCTTACATGCAAGGGCTCCTACAACCCTGTGTAAGATGTCACCACTTCTGCATAATGTAAAGACTGCAACAAAGTGATGCAGGTGGAACCAACACAATAAGTCACCTCATCAAAAAAGAAAAAAGAGCTCCCTATTGAATACCTTTTCCCTCCCACTTCAGCTGGGGAGGAACAGAATGTTTGAAATGCATCTTCCTTAGACACCTAACAGGATGTGACCCATGACACCTAATCTACATTTGAAACAATAATCAGGATATAAGCCGTAGTAACTTACTTACGTATGATTCCAATTTCCCACCCTATTCCACGGCCTTTTTTAAGGTTGAACAACCTGACCAAACTCTAAGGGCAGCATGTTTGACTAAACCCCAGCCAACAGGCGTGTGAGGTGTTTTTCTTTCCTCTATCAGAAACAGCCATGGGCAAAAGGTGGTTTATCAACATCATTCTGTGACATAGCAAACAATTAACCCTATAATTCTTTTAAAAAAATCATAGCAGGTATTCAGTTGTATAAGAAATGTTCCAAAAATTGTATAACTATAAAACTATATAACTGCTGGCCTCCATTTAAAAATCCTGAGGGCAAGAGAACTCGAACACCAGAAAATACTGTGGTGTTGAGTCTTCTAAAATAAGATAAAAGTTTCCCGCATTTCTGAAGAAAGGAGAAAGCAGCAATAGTAAAAGCCACATTTCACCAACTCAATAGAACAATCACCCGCTCTCACACAAAAGGCTGTAGGTATGTCTCAAAATTTAATCTGAATTTACAAACTATAATTAAATTATAATGAAAAAATAGCGAGGACAGATACATTAATAAATCCCAGAGCACATAAGGAAAGAATTCCTAATCAAGGCTAGATTCTGAGTGCCACTGGTAACAGTTCCATCCTTATGATTTTACATAAAAGGAAATCAAAACTAGAGACTTCAAGGAACCAGAGGTTACACAGGTCACTGGTTCTTAATCTCTGGGATGCCACAGCATCAAACAGTGTGCTTGTTTAAAAAAAAAAAAAAAAAAGTCCACCACAGACATACAGAATCATAACTGTCCTGTGTATATGTTGTGTGTATATGAGGACGATGAGGAGGTGTGATGTGACAGAGAGAAGGGTACTGCTGAGGTACACTTTTAAAAACGATCACGGGAAGTTCTAAAACACAGCAAATTTTCAACACCATTAGGTTACTGGTACAGTATTGCCAGTCTCTGAAATGCTAGGCCATTTACAGAAGCAGTACCAATGTTCACTGTAATTTCATCTCAAAGGTCCACACTGTGGGACAAAGTTAAACTGAAGCACTGTTGTAAAGCTGTTCTTTTGGTACCGACACTGAAAAAATCGCTCCGTGGGGCTGAGGCAGACGGCTTTATACACAGTTCCTCTGAATGGCAGGCATACTACAAGAGTGGTAAGGCCAATTGTGGCAGTCACATGGGAAAATGAGCCTTGCTGCATCAACACCCTTTCTCACAATTAAATACCATAGTGAAATCATATTTTGAACGTAACTTTGGCATTAACATTTCGCGAATGCCCCTCTGCTCCCATCCCAACTCTCAAATCACAAACATAAACATTCCTGAATTAAGACCAGCAAGAAGACCCTGGTTATGTCATTAAGTCATCATTCATGAGTGATCATTCACTCTTGCATATGTTTGACCATTTGGGCAAACATATGGTGCTGTGATTTTTCTTTCAAACTCCAGTTTCTGGAGAATGATAAACACATAAGATAAAACATTGCTCTGAGATGAACTGTGGAAAAGTTCCAACAGTTTGTATGCAATCTCAAAAATCTTGGTAACAATTTTAACAATTTTTAAGAACATTATCAACAAACCACACACACACACACACACACACACACACACACACACACTTTGTAGTTTTAAAAGCTAAAACAAAAAGTAGAAGGAAAGAATAAAGACTAAAGCAAAAGTCAATGAAACAGGAAACAGAAAATCAATGAAATCAAAAAGAAAATCAATGAAGCCAAAAAGAAAGTTGTTTGAAAAGATCAAATAAATTGGTAGACCTCTAACCTGACTGAAATGGAAAGAGAAAGAGATAACCAAATTACCAATATTGGGAATGATATTCTACAAGTATTTAAAGTATAACAAGTGGATACAATTAACAACTTTATATCAATAAATTCAACAGCTTACCTAAGTATCTTAAAAGACACAAGCTACCAAAGCTCATTCAAGAAGAGAAATATAAATGCATCTATATCATTAAGAAATATTAACAGAATTTGCAGTTTAAAACCTTCCCAGGTCAGGCACAGTGGCTCATGCTTGTAATCCCAGCACTTTGGGAGGCTGAAGAGGGTAGATCGCTTGAGCTCAGCTTACAAGTTCATGATGAGTAATGCAGAGAAACTCTGTCTCTAGAAAAAAAAATACAAAAACTAGCCGGGTGTGGTAGTAGAAGCCTGTAGTCCCAGCTACTTGGGAGGATGAGGTGGGAGGATCGCTTCAGCCTGAGAAGCCGAGGTTGTGAACCAAGATTGCGCCACCACACTCCAGTTTGAGCAAGACAGCGAGACCCTGTCTCTCTCTTTCTCTTTCTCTCTCTCTCTCTCTCTCTCTCTCACACACACACACACACACACACACACACACACACACAAAACCTTCTCTTTGAGAAAACTCAAGGCCAATAAATTCAACTAAACATTTAAGAAAAAAATTAATACCAGCTAAACAAAAAAAATTTAAGAGGAGGAACTACTTCCTAATCATTCTATAAATCCATGGTTCTCTAATAGAGAAGCCAGGCAAAAACATTCACCAAAAAAATGACAAACCAATAACTCCCACAAAAGTCAATGCAAAACATTCTTCACAAAGTTTTAACACATGGAATTCAACAATATGTAAAAATAATAATATATCATGGCTCACACCTGTTAATCCCAGTACTTTGGGAGGCCAAGGTGGGTGGATCGCAAGGTCAGGAGATCAAGACCATCCCGGCCAACATGGTGAAACCCCATCTCTACTAAAAATACAAAAATTAGCTGGGCATGGTAGTGCATGCCTGTAATCTTAGCTACTCGAGAGGCTCAGGGAGGAGACTCGCTTGAAGCCAGGAGGCGGAGGCTACAATGAGCCAAGATCATGCCACTGCACTCTAGCCTGGTGACACAGCAAGACAACATCTCAAAAAAAGCAAAAAGAAACAAAAAAAAAATAAAAGGAATAATATATCATGGACAAATGGGATTTACCTCAGGAGTGAAAGATTGGTATTTTAAAAATTAATGAATATAATTCACCATTTTAAGAAGCTTAAAAAAAAAGAAAGAAAACCACATGATAATCTCAATAGAGAAAAAACATTTGCCAAAATCCAACACTAATTCCTGATAAAAACTCTCAGCAAGCTAAAAATAGAAAGAAACTTCCTAAACCAGATAAAGGGCATCTATTTAAACAACCTACACCTAACGTCACACTTAGTGGTGAAATAATGAATGCTTTCCCTCAAAGACTAGAAATAAGGCAAGAAGATCTGCTCTTGCCAATTCCATTTAGCACTGTCTTTCAGGTACCAGAAGAATTGTCATGGTCTGAGATTTTACCCTACGTGTAAGCCAGTAAATTAGCCTATCACTGTTTCATTGATGCTGCAGAAGACAGGAGACACCTGGGTCAGAGACCTAGGATTTTATGATTCACGGCACAACAAAAGGCATGTACACCATGTTTGCATAGATTTCCCTGCCCTGAAAGTCCCACAGGGTGACATGAAGGGATTCCGATGGATGCCGGCACACACAGTAGAGGTTGCTTACAAGAAAGGAATCCTTGGATTTTGGAAATCTACGATTTTCATGGTAAGAAGTAAGCAAACTTGTTCTTTGTTCAACAGTGAACTATTCCACCATCCCACAAGGATGCTCACTGCAATTATAGCCCTGAAAAACAGCCTGGGCAAAGGGCAGTCACAGCACTCAATTCTTGGCATACCCAGCAAAATATGCGGGAGTATGATGGTAATGGAGGAATATCCCAACAGCAATAAGACTAGACAATGAAATAAAAGTCCCCCATATTAAAAATAAAAGCTACCCATCCATATTCACATGTGACATCATCTTTGTAAAAAATGATGAAATCTGTTTTTTTTTTTGTTTTTGTTTTTTTTTTGAGACAGAGTTTCGCTCTTGTTACCCAGGCTGGAGTGCAATGGTGCGATCTCGGCTCACCGCAACCTCTGCCTCCTGGGTTTAGGCAATTCTCCTGCCTCAGCTTCCTGAGTAGCTGGGATTACAGGCACGTGTCACCATGCCCAGCTAATTTTTTGTATTTTTAGTAGAGACGGGGTTTCACCATGTTGACCAGGATGGTCTCCATCTCTTGACCTCATGATCCGCCCGCCTCGGCCTCCCAAAGTGCTGGGATTACAGGCTTGAGCCACCGCGCCCGGCTTGAAATCTGTTTTTAAAAGCCACTAGAATATATGAGTATAGCAAGATAGCAGAATATAAGGTCAATATGCAAAAAATGATTATATTTCTAATATCAGCGAGAGACTACTAAAAACTGAAATTAAAAAAAAAAAACACTGTTTACACTAGCATCAAAAAATATTAAACACTTAGGAATAAATTTAAAGATGTATAAGACCCAAACACTGAAAGCCACAACAAAATACACTCAGAAAAACTGAAAAAGACCTAAACAAACGGAGAAATAATATAGCTTTCTTAGGTTACAAGACTATACATTACTAAGATGTCAGTTCTTCCCCAAATTCATTTAAAAATTCATTTTAATATCAGCCAAAATTTCAACAAGCTTTTTATAGAAACAGGTGTTTCTAAAATTCATATGGAATTGCAAAGGACTTAGAATCACTACAACAATTTTGAAAAAGAAGCAAAACGTTGGAGGACTAACACTATCTGATTTCAAATTTTGTTGTAAACAAGCCACAATAATAAAGAGATTATGAGAGTGGCATGTAGATAAACAAATAGATCAAGGAGACAGGATTCAGAGTCCAGAAACAGATTCACACTTACACGGACTACTGAATTCCAACAAAGGTGAAAACAAGCTCAGTGAGGAAACAATGGTCTTTTAAACAAATGTTACTGGAACAAGTGAATATACTATACATATGAGGGGAAAAAAAAAGATAAACTAAAAAATAATTTGATCTATACATAGGTTTATATACAAAAATTACTTCAAAATGGATCATAGGCCCGTATGTGTAACCTAAAGCTGTAACACTTCAGGAAGATAAAGAACATTCTGTGACTTTGAGTTAAGCAAAGATTTATTCAATATGATACTAAAAGCACAATTCATAAAAGAAATATTGATAAATTGAACTTCATCAACATTTAAAACTTCTGCTCTTTGAAAGACACTGTTAAGGGAATGAAAAGACAAGCCACAGACTAAGAAAAACTATCTGACAAAGGCTTTGTATCCAGAATGTATATATTTTTAAACTCTCAAAATTCAATAAGAAAACAGCCCAATTTTTATAATGGCAAAAGAAGATCATGCTGGCAAATAAACAGATGAAAAGATCCTCAAAATGTTCTGTCATCAGGGAAATGCAAATTAAAACCACAATGAAAAAACACTACATACCTGTTGAATGGCTAACATTAAAAAGACTGACCAGGACGCTCACATGCTGCTGGTGACAACGTAAAATGGTATAACCACTGTGGAAAAGTGTGACAGTTTCTCCAAAAGTTAAACATGTAACTACCATTTGATTCAGCCATTCTAGGTAATTACACATGGGAAATGAACATATATGCCCAATCAAAAACTTGTAGTTAAATATTCATAGCAGCTTTATTCATCACAGCCAAAATGGGAAACAACCCAAATGTCCATTACCAGATGAATGGATAAACAAACTGTAATAAAGCCACACAATTGAACACTAGTCAGCAACAAAAAGAATAAACTATTGAAACATGCAACAAAATAAATCAATCTCAAAATAATAAAACTGGAGCTGGTGGAGGGCGAGTATTAGGAAAAACAGCTAATTGCAGCAAAGCACCATGGCACAAGTTTACCTATGTAACAAACTTGCACTCCCAGAACTAAAAATAAAATTAAAAATTAAAAAAATAATAATTAAACTGACTGAAAGAGGGCAGACAGGAAGGAGTATACATTGTATGACACCATTCATATAAAATTGTTTAAAACGCAAACTACAGCAACCAAAAGCAGATACCTGCATGTTGACTGCAGTTGGGGAGGAGGGCCAAGAGAGTCACACATGTGTTGACACTTATCAAATTGTACACTTTACTTTACTGCAGTTACTTAAAGCCCAATAAAGCTATTTTTTTAACCTGCTTTTTATTAACTGCAAAGAATTCATTTATCACTATATTCCCACTAAGGCCTATATATAGTACCATTTAATTGCTACGAAATTTTAGTGTTAAAGCATGTCTTATATATTCTCTAAGGAACAGTACTGTCACCTTTACATTGCCAGTTAACAGAAGAGCTAATTAATTCTTCACAAACTGAGTGTTTTCCTTAACAGAACAAATTCCCAACTCCTGTCCACACAGCCAGTGTTAAGTCTCTCATTCTGAAAGTTTAATCTTCCCTAACTTTGTTTATCTACATTGTCTCACGGAACATTTTAGGTTCCAGGAATCCAAGAAAGATCGTGACCCTTGCAGTGAGAGAGCCGTTGTTCACTCACCTGAGCCGACTTGCTGCAAACGACGCCATGAATCTCCAAGTAGCTGAAGGTTAACTCGAGCTGCAATTGAGGGGAAAAGAGGAAAGAAAAGACCTGTAATGAGGGTTTTAAAACATATAATTCAAGGTTTAAAAAAATGCTACAACTAGAAACACCCCAAGAGCAAATAAGACGTTGGGTATCTTCTGAAGGCAGGTTGGTTTAATATCTCTAAGATAGAAGCGACTTATCAAATTTCAGAAAAAGTATTACTTACTTTACTAAAAAGAAAGGAAGCTGCATACCCACTCCTAAAATTTCATCCTGGGACAAACCTAACAGTAGAAGCTGGTATAAAAGTAATTATAGTTTTGCCCTTAAAAGTAATAGCAAAAAACGTGATTACTTTTGCATTAACCTAAAAAGTTTCTGCACTTATCCACTATTTATTCATTGAAAAATGAAAGTATAGAAGAAACCATCTAAACACGTTTTTCCCTTTTTCACTTCAAAATTTTGCCTCAGAAAGTCCTATCAGGATAAAGTCAGTGTTGTTCTTCCCTTTTTCTACACCTTTAGCTATTTGTTACACTCTGACCACTTATCAGAGTCATCCATCCTTCTACCGTCTTCCATAACAATTCATAGTTTGAATGGATTTAGAGAAATAAATCTATATTTATCCAACTTAAATCCATATTTCCACAAATACTTCGGAATTTTAAATTGTGCTTAAATGAAATCAGAGTTAAAAGTCCTGTCTCTGCATGTAGATAAATGATGATTTCTTTCCTCTCTAACAAGTGCTCTCCCATCTCCTATAATCATCAGCAGTCTTTCTTTAAAATATCTCCAGTCTTTCACTCCTTACCTACTTTTCCTGATAAACAGCCACTAATCTTTCTTCCCGGTTTTTCCCATTACAGCAAATAATCACAGGGCATGGAACTACAGACAGTGCGGGACCGAGTTGGGTCAATGTATTTTACCCTCCCGCATTAAAACGAGAAATATAATGATAAAAGAACACATCCAGAACCAAATCCACGGGGCATTTATTTCTGCTCCCTGGTGGTATGTTGCACTGTGATACATTGGTAGGATAAATTTTAGAGAAGAAAATCCCTGAATCTCCAGTTAAACATCTCGAAGTACACTGATGAGGTCTGGAGGTAGAAAAAGAGCTCATTATTTCATTATTCACTTGGTCAACTGACAGACACTTATCAAAAGCCCACTATGTGCCAGTACTGGAAACACAAACAGGACTGAGACATGTGCTTCGTCCTCCAAGAGTTAAACGCAGCACTTAAGGCATGTGTTTAAAAGCACTCAAAGAGAGTTGGAGTTTTCTTGCCTATCATTATCAAGACGTATACATAATTTGGTTTTGAAAACTCATTTAAAGCAGGAAATTATTTTCTAAAAAGTATACATACCTTCCTTCATTATTTTAATTTAAAGCTTATGAACAAATATTTATTACCCTTTAATATTGTGCCAAAGTTTTTCTTTCAGTTAAGCCCACTGGCTGGCCCTCCAATGGCCTTTCTGCATAAGCCATACCCACAAGCATGGCTTCCTGCTTCCAATTTAAATCTCTTTAAAAATGGAGAACTGGCTGGGCACTGTGGCTCATGCTTCTAAGCCCAGCTCTTAGGGAGGCAGAGGCGGGAGGATAGCCTGAGCCCAGGAGTTTGAGACCTGCCTGGACAATATAGCGAGACCCGTTCTCTATTTAAAAAAAAAAAAAAAAAAAAAAAAAAAAAAAAAAAAAAGCAGAACTGCAAAATACTTGCAAAGCAGTATGAGGGCAAACATTTTCTAGATTATTATACTCCTCACCACCCCTCCCACAACAGTAAAGTTGTCCAGACTTTAAGACAGCAATTTAAGTAATTCACTTTCATCAATGTTCAATAGGTCATAGATACTCTTCTTTTGCACTCATATTTCATTGCTGCATAAAATAGCTTTCATTAAAAACATTTGCTATTATAACTACCTTAAACAGGTTTAGGAATAAACCCATGACCCTCAATGAGCATCTCATTCAGTGGGTGGGCGCAGGTGTGAATAAGTGTGAACAGGTTTCCTCTCTTACAGGCTAACAGCTAGGAAAAGACTAGAGCTAGCATCAGTCAGCATCATCAGGGATAGGAATGGCCACCTTTGGTCAATTTGGCTCAGCAGGATTAGCTGGAGGTCAATTAAGATGCTTCTACTGTACCTGCGCGCTGTCCCTGGGGTAGCAGTAACAGTGCTGGGGAGCGAGGAAAGAGTGGTGACATTTCATCTAGGCCCTGAGGAATCACTTCACGTTCCTCAAGCAAACAAGGAGTGTAGAGGGAAATTCACGTGGCAGAAAAAGAATTTAGGAAGAAACTAAAAGGAGCAAATCAATTAGGGTGACTGGCTGAGCCTGTGACTAGTCAAAGGTCCAGGTTATTATTAATGGCGAGCAAGGAAGTCTCTAAAACATACTGAAAGACATCACAGCAAGGTTCAAATCATTCTCTTATCTCATCTATGGCTATTTTTATTAGGGCTTTGCTCCTAGTCCCAACAACCCATCATCCATGCCACTCCAAACCACACAAAGACAGTTGTCACCGGGTTACATTTATGGGCAAGAAGAGGCAGGAAGGCTAGTTAGGAAGCTGAGACAGACGTAGGATGCACGAAGACCGGAGGACACTTTTTAGTTAGAAATTATACCATCACAACAGAAATTAGTGAATTATTAGATAAGAGGAAAAACTGAACCCAGACTGTCAATAGCTTTTCCACCAATCACTTGCTCACCTCACACCCAAACCCTAGCGAGACAGTGCCCATCCAACCAGCAACAGAGCAGATGTAAATCTGATGAAGAGACTGTCCTTCAGGAACTCCTGCTCTTCCCCAGGCAGCAGTCCACACTTCAGCCCCTCAGCCAGTCCTCAGCCCAGTCCATCTTTCTGAGCTGTTTCCCTCCCACCACCACCTCCTCCACAACCCTCAGTTCACACTCCAGCTCCCGAAATGCACCGTGGTCTTCCAAACCGCTAAGCCTTTTGACCAGCATAAAAACTTATTTGCCTGGTTGATAGGTGATTTTTCAATATGCCCTCTCTGCAAACCCTTCCTTGATCTCATAATTACCCACCCCCTGAAAGAAAAGTTGGGGCCTTCCGGGCTGAAGGCACAGCTCTATTTCTTCATCTGGGTGTGGCTGCAGAAGTATTTGCTTTGCAGTTAATTACTGAGATGTGTATCTCTGTTTTGTGCATTTGACTATACATGTTACACATTTCACAATAAAATGACAAAAGAAAACATATTTAATTAATCAGCCACCAAAGAAAAGAGAAGACGTCTATGTCATAGTCAGTGCTTTACAATAATGTACTTTATTTTTATTTTTTTGAGATGGAGTTTCCCTCTGGCGCCCAGGCTGGAGTACAGTACTGTGATCTCGGCTCATTGCAACCTCTGCCTCCCAGCTTCAAGAGATTCTATGCCTCAGCCTCCCAAGTAGCTGGGATTACAGGCACATGCCACCATGCGCGGCTAATTTCTGTATTTTTAGTAGAGACAAGACTTCACCAGGTTGGTCAGGCTGGCCTCAAACTCCTGACATTGTGATCTACCTGCCTTGGCCTCCCAAAGTGCTGGGATTACAGGCATGAGCCACCGCACCCAGCCTACACTAATGTTCTAAATATAATTATTTCTCCAGAAAATTAGTATCATTGACATTGGTTTTATTTCTCAGTCAAGTCTTAAGCTGGCACATGAAAACCAGCCTTCTCTAAGGGAGAAAGCTGCAAGCAGATCACTTTGGAAGAAAATCTGCCTTCCTTTACTTGTGATGCTGACAATATCAGAAATCAGAACCCATGTTCAAACTACCGTGGCCAGGCTGGCTGTGAAAAATTATGTGTATCATGGGATGGACCCAAGCCTTTCCTCAGGGGCAGAATAAGGTTATCCAGCAGAAGGCAGGCAGGTGACTTCACAAAAGATAACATACTTCCCCTGTGTCACAACGTGGTAGGGTATACGTATTATTTAGCAGTCTTGTATTCAATAGGGTGCTTGAATATTTTCCTGACCCATAAAATTTCCTTCTGTAATTAATTTCTCACCAGTGGGATAATGTCTAATTAACTTCCTCATATCATGCCTTCAGGTATTTTAATGTATACATAGTTTAGTCCAACTTCATTGACATAGTAATTTATTTATAAACCATAATAAACATATAGGCTCATTTTATATTAACTAAAGGGGCTTGGGCCATTGGCATCTCCCCAAAAGTCAGTGTAAATCATGCAAATCCTAAGACTGGAAGTCCCAAAAGGTCCTTTTCATTTGTGCCAATAACATTATACTGCCCTAACTTGGCACATAGGTCAGAATTTACAAAACAGTGGCTAAATGTTAAATTTTAAGAAACAAGAAAGGACTAATAAGCAAATAACACTGCAGCCCAAACATCATAGCACAATAAGGCTGGAAGTTTCTACCAGACCTTACCCGTTTTCCTGGGTATGTGGGCAGGGGGAGCAGTGTTGCTAAGCAGAGGCTTTGCAGCCAGCCTCCCCAGATTAGACACACATGTGCCACATATGAGTGGAAGTTTAACCTTAGTCAAGTTACTGAACCTCCTTGTGCCTCAGTTTTCTCGTCAATAAAAGGTATAATAAGACCTATGGCTCTCATAAGATTCTGTTAAGGATTAAGTTATTTACTAAAACAATACTCCAGTAAATGTTACCACCTTTTTAGAAAAAAAAAAAAAAAATACCCAATTTCCTATAACCATTCAGTCCCTATCCTATAAAAATGATAAACCCCTTTTAGTTAACATAAAAGAAGTCATTACTAGGCCGGGCACGGTGGCTCAAGCCTGTAATCCCAGCACTTTGGGAGGCCGAGGCGGGTGGATCACGAGGTCAAGAGATCGAGACCATCCTGGTCAACACGGTGAAACCCCGTCTCTACTAAAAACTACAAAAAATTGGCTGGGCATGGTGGCGCGTGTCTGTAGTCCCAGCTACTCAGGAGGCTGAGGCAGGAGAATTGCCTGAACCCAGGAGGCGGAAGTTGCAGTGAGCCGAGATCGCGCTATTGCACTCCAGCCTGGGTAACAAGAGCGAAACTCCGTCTCAAAAAAAAAAAAAAAAAAAAGTCATTATTGTGATTAACTCAAAAACTATCAGGTCAAATTTTGCACCAAATCACGAAGGGCATGTAATGAAAAATGTAATATATCTCCTTTAAAGAACAGAGTGGTGCCTTGTTATTTTTTATAAGCAACATCAGAGTAGATGGAGAACAGCTGAGATGGTTACAGTTCTGGCAGCGTACTCTTTAAAGTTATGACGGTTATTTCCCACATCTAAAGTCTTAGAAAAATCTGCCAGTACTGCTCTGAAGGAAATAAGAAGTAGACTTGAGGCCGGGCGCGGTGGCTCATACCTGTAATCCCAGCACTTTGGGAGGCCGGGGCGGGCGGATCATGAGGTCAAGAGATCAAGACCATCCTGACCAACATGGTGAAACCCCGTCTCTACTAAAAAATACAAAAATTAGCTGGGCGTGGTGGTGCGCACCTGTAATCCCAGCTACTCAGGAGGCTGAGGCAGGAGAATTGCTTGAACCCGGGAGGTGGAGGTTGTAGTGAGCCGAGATTGTGCCACTGCATTCCAGCCTGGCGCCTGGCGACAGAATGAGACTGTCCTGACAAAAAAAAAAAAAAAAAAAGCAGACTTGAACAAAGTGGAAATCAAGCCCCAGTCGAAAGAGAAAAATAACTGGGACATGGAGCCTCGGGGACATAGAGCAGAAAATCCTTGACTGATTTTCTTGGGATGCCTTTACAGAAAAGAGAAGGAACAAAGGAGGAAAAAAATGTTTGTCGTTACAACCTTTAGGTGCTTCTGGGAAGAAGGAAGGAAAACTTGAGAGTGCTAAGAGAAATCTGAAAACAGCTTAAATCAGAAGTCTATGTAAGTGAGGTACGTGTGTGTTGTGTTGCAGTATATGAGTGTCTGTGCGTGCACACATGTAAGAATGCACCAGGGTGTGTGTGTGAGTGCGCAAAGGAGGACTTCATCCACACTTACCTTGGTGGGGATCCTCGCTGTTACCAGGAAGGCTCGGCATGATGTAAGCACCTGTAAGACAGAAGCAGCAGCATCACTGTAAGTACCAACAAGTGGGGCCAGGGGGCTTTGGTGCTTCTACGGGCGTTTAATGATACCAAAGCCGCAGAAGGCCACACGCTTGGCTCCTGTCATGTAAGAAGAATTAAGATCTGGGACAGCTTCTTGGTCTCATAAAATGAGTTTTAACTTAAAGAGTCCCTGTATCAAAGTTCTTTTAGAACAAATTACAGGTGAAATCTCTAGAGGGGAAGTCAGTCAGCGGCCCAAAAACCCAACAGCTTATTCAGATTAAGTAAAACAGGCCTCTGTGATAATACAGAGTCACAAGTCTCACTATATCAACAGTTAATTCAATGAAAAAAACAAGAACTAAGTACTCATTTGCACTTCCCAAATTACAACCACCACCCACATGTGCCCTCTCGCTTTCCATTCTTTGTACTGTAGCTAACATTTAAATAATGCATAGAGCGAAATGAGGCTAAGCTTCCAAAAACTCATCCCTAACTTTGCTTCTCAGCTGTCCCTCTCTCAGTCTTAGAACATTTATGGAAATTTCCTTTTTGACACTCAGCTAAGAACATACATACAGCCTGTGGGGTCCCATATGCCTATAGGTTCCGTTTACCTCGCAGAGGCCTATGTGAATACAAAGGGGCTGAGCTAGAAGTTCAGATCTTGAGCCAGGATCGTACATCCACAAGGCTTACTGCAAAACTTTCCACTCTGCAACTTTGAGATTCAGGCAGGCCTCATGAGCCTTTTCAAGAAAGAAAGAAAACTCTGGGGCTGGGTGCAGTGGCTCACGCCTGTAATCCCAGCACTTTGGGAGGCAGAGGTAGGCGGATCAAGAGGTCAAGAAATAGAGACCATCCTGGCTAACACCGAGAAACCCCGCCTATACTAAAAATACAAAAAATTAGCTGGGCATGGTGGCACGCGCCTGTGGTCCTAGCTACTTGGGAAGCCAAGGTAGAAGAATCGCTTGGACCCAGGAGGTGGAGGTCGCGGGTGAGCAGAGATTGCGCCACTGCACTCCCGCGTAGACGACAGAGTGAGACTTTGTCTCAAAAAGGGAAGAAGAAAAAAATAAATAAAGAAAACTCCAAGGTTTCTCAAGGCCTGAGAACTGCCGTTTTTTCATTTTCCAAATAGCTTCCTTGTCACTAAGCCTGTATTTAGCAAGTTATGCTTACGTGCTAGTTTAAGAAAGCTAGATTAGAGCAAAAGTGTAGAAAGTCAACAACACTGGGACCTCGGGTTGTTAAAGGGCTTGTCAAACAGCTTTACCCAGACACAACCCAGGGCTCGAACGGCTAACGTGGGTACAGAAAGTGAATCAAGGCTATGCCCCTGTGGCCTGCTTTAGGCCCTTCCCAAGTCTCCAAACTTCGAATAGCAACAGTACATTTTCTATAAAAGCCTTCTTTCAGTAATCACATCTCATCACTGTAGCGGATAACTCAAGCCAGAAGTATTTAAGACAGATGAAAAGAGAAGTGACCTGACACTGGGAGAGTGTGGTAAGAGCAGGTGGGAAGTTGAAGGAAAAGACACAGCCCATTTCCAGACCTTTCACCCAAACGCCACCGTCACAGTTATTTGCAGGAGCAGTTTTTACCTGGTATCATTTTCACGACTTGATTTTATGGTGTGCTCTGGAAAGCACTTCTAAATGACTTCTAAAAGTGTAGGCAGCAAGGGCCTTCTCAATGCCACGGCAGCGTGTCAGTCTCATAAAAGTGTAGGCAACAGATGATGTCTATCTTTGAATATTCCATATGCTGTGAACCAAATCACAGATTTTCCTGAGGAATTTATCCTTATTTTTACACCCTTCTAAGGCCTTGGGGGCAAGGGAATGGGACACAGCAACAGGCAGGAGAAAGGAAAGGGAAGGGACGAAGTATGTCCAGGATGAGTGCGTGGAGGTCAAGTGTAGCCAGGTAGTAGCAGGACTGGCTGCATTATTTGTAGGGACATTGTTCAACTACGATTAAGAATTTCAAGATGGTAACAGTAAGGTATTAACCCAGTGTAGGGAAGTGATGTAACTCACTTCAAGGTCAATTTATGGGAGAAACAGAATTCACATGCTTGGAGCGGGAGGCATGGCAGCCTGCTGTAGGGTGTTCAACTCTTTCTGTTTGCTCAAGACGTTTCCAGTTTAAGGGCTACGAATCCTGCATCTCGTGAAACTGGAACTATCGGTCAATCTACTAGCTTGAATTTTGGAATCAGAAAGACTTACATTCAGATTCTGGCTGCATCCACCTGTTGACGCCAAAGCCTGTGTCCGGAACCACTGCACTATATCTACACGTTACTACTCAATCGTGTCTCCCCGTGCTCCAGCCCCTGGCGGGTTAGGGTCAGCGTTAGGGTTAAGGTTAGGGCTAGGACCCTTGTGCTCCAGCCCCCGTCAGATGTGCCCTGTGCAACTGTACAGGCTGCAGGCCATAAAGCTGTCCCTGAGTCGTTGCTACCCGTTGTCGAGCATTTTCTGCGTGCCATGAATAGGTGAACACCTTGAGTACAGTGACATACTTAATCCTCACAACAACTATATTTGATGTCACTACTCCCATTTTACAAATGAGTAAACTGAGACTCAGCAATGTAACTCACTTCAAGGTCATTTTCAAGTAGAGCAGATATCATTTATAAAAGCATCAGAGTATAAAAGGTACTTAAGAAGAGTATAATTTAAATCTCACAGCTTTGTTAACGCCAAAACTGATGTTCTTAACCACCAGGCTACATTTACATGTTACCACCCAATCCTGCCTCCTTGTGTTCTAGCCCCTGGAAGATCAGTTACAGTGAAGGTAGGAAGGGACAGCCCAGGGCAGCCATGACTGGGAGACACCTCGGAGTACCTTTTTCAACATTCCAACAGTTAGTTTCTAAAATGCTCTCTTTAAATCCAAGTATGCCCTGGAGAACTGAACTCTTCTGTCATCAGCACTGGTTAATCTTTGGCTAATACAGCAGTACTCAGGGAATGAAGAGTTTGCAGGCCTTTTGCAAAAGGGCAAGAGATGATTTTCTTGCAAGAGACACACAGGGCTGGATAAATGGCAGCAGACTATCAAAAGAAGCATGCCGGTAATGACGAGGAATTTGGAAAGGGAGATAAAAGCACGAGAGACAGGCTCGGCCTGCACTGCCATTTGCCGAGGCCTGGAGAACAGGATGCAAGCTTAGGCCTCATCTTAAAGGATGAAATACTCACCTTCCCTGAACTAAGCTCCACAGTGCATCTAGCACCTTCTACTCCAGTTCAGCCCCAGGATATGACCCCTCTTTCAAATATTGCTCCTCCCCCATAGTGGAAAAGAAAAAGAAACAAGACAAAAATACTGACAGCCATGATCACAAGCATGGCTACAGGAAGCCACTCCCCTATTCTCACCATTTCGCCCTTTTTATTATTTACAAAGCAGCACACACATTTCTCTCTCTTCCAGGATACTGGTATGATCAATCCGCAATCTTTCCAAAAAGCTTAGGTCCACAAAACCTCTGCATACAGGTAAAATAACCAACATATCATAAAACTCACATGCAGAAAGGTCCCAACATCACATGGTCAAAGACCTAAAATACCCTGAGTTTATGCCTGACAGCAGGTCCAGAGAAACTCATTGACTCACAGCTAGCTGGTGGCAGAGCTGGAACTAGAAGCTGCAACTCCTCACTCTCGGTCTATTAACTCTCTACTTTCCCCTCACATTAGCAATAAGGTTCAAGGCCAAGAGCCACAGACAGGAACTTGTAGCCTCTTCAGTATTCATAAAACATGTTTAACTCTGTGAACTTTCCTTCAAGGGAACCAGGATCCTCTCACAAACATAGTTATAACTGCTAGTATTTGTTGGGTACACTGTTCTAATAGGTTTGGGTATGTTACCACATTTAATCCTCACAGCACCCTATGAGGAAAACACTATTATCATCCCCATGTTAAGATGAAGAAAAAGGCGCATACAGATTCTGTAATTTGTGCAGGTCACCCAGCAAGGAGGCGGCAGAGTTGGGACTCGAACCTGGATGGTCTGGCTCCAGAGACGGTGTTCCTAATGATTTATACTGGCTGTCAAATCTCACCTTTCCAAAAACCAGATTCCTCAATAGCCCACACACACGGAAACATAGAAGAGTCATGGACCTTTACAGCCAGAAAGAAGCTAATAGGTAAAAGGACCAGCAGTACAATGAGAGATGTTTGGGTATCATAAGGAAAAGGACCAATCCCTACTGGTCTGAGTGTCTCCTTCTGTCTCTTTCTATGCAGAAGACTATCTTCTGTTAGTCTCTGTGTCTCTGTCTGAATGTCTCTCTCGTCTCTGTTCTGTATCTGTCTGTGTGATTCTATGTGTTACCGCTCAGTCCATCTGTGCCTCCCTTCACTGGATCCCCACCCCTCCTCTGACCCCTCTCTCTGCTATTGCTGCCAGTGTCCCCCATACCCCGCCCCAACTTGCTTCATCTCCTTTCCCTCCGCTGGTGCCCTCCTCCCGTGCCTTCATTCTGCCCTCCATTCCCAGCTTTTCTCTATGAGAATCAATTGAGAGCTAGTCATTTTATTTATTCCTTTTGTAAGACAATAGACACCAATCACAGAAGAAAGACTGCCTTCTGGAAAAGTATTTCATTTGTAACACAGTCACAGAAAAACTTGAACAAAATATGAACCCAAAATAATCACATACTTTTTGACATCATTACACAATGAGCACACTGGTAATTAAGTGATTATAAGGTCCCCCGTGAGAATCTAATTAATAAGTCTTAAAAGCTAATCTCAAACATGCACCCAAACAACTGAAATACAACAGCAATAACTAGCACAAGGAAGCAGCTGGCCATTCCTCCCTTTGACAACTGTTGCACTTGAGGGAATAACGCTCCCACTACCAGCCAGCGGGGTGGGGGGTCAGATGACCTGCCCTCTCCAGAACAGTCACCACAAGAGCTTTCTAGAGGCCACTAACAGGGTATGAACT